AAAACCCGGAAGTAAACTTCTTCCGGTTCCTTCGTCAAAAACCAATGGAATTTCTCCATAGGATTTTGGAAAATAGCTCGAGATAAGGTCTGTGATTGACACACATTTAAAGGTGGGGTGGGTAATTTTGGAGAAACCAGCTCGAGTGCGCTAGAATTTGAAAATACACAACCGGAAAAAATCTGCCACTTCCTTACAGAGCCCCTCCTCCTCCAACACACACGAACGCGCACATGACCAATGAGGGCACGAGATAAGTTTGTGCACAGATGGAAGGCTGACAGGCAGGTAGGCCATCCAGTGACTTTAGCCGGGCCGGCTAAAATGATTGGTCGTGCTTTTTACAGTACTACGGCTTCCACAGATTACATTTTTTTATGGATTTGTTGTCAAAGCACTTAAGATATTCATTGCTATCGGGATGTTAAGAGCATTCCATGGAATATAACAAAAAGTGTATCTCAAGCCGGTTTCTCAAACTTACCTACCCCACCTTTAAGAGACAGATCACGTTTAGTTCAGCCGGATAATATCCACGTCTACCCTACTTTTATAATTTTTGAATCATAAATCTATCGATTAGATTTATGATTAGAAAATTATAAAAGTAATGTAAATGCTAACTTACTTCCGGGTTTTAGGACGCGTCACTGTGGCACTCGAAGCGAAGTCCCGCCCATCTACTTCCGACCCATGGGACCTTATTTCGGAAAAATTATGAATTGAAGTCAATGGGGAGAGAAAGATTATCTTTCAATCCCGTTTGAATTGTGCCACGAATTACACAGATGTTTGTCAATTTTAACAAATAATTTCCATGTCAAAAAAGTCAGTTTGTCGTACAAATATAAGACTATGAAAAATACGCAACTAGAAAGACTACAAATCCCAGAATCCCGGTCCTGCATGCTGGCTCTTACGGAACCGACTACTCCCCTTTTGTGTACAGCTCTCAACATGCCCAGACTTGTAGTGATTTTCACCTCTTTTAATACTTTTCGCCTCATTCTGAAAGAAAGAGGTGAAATGTGCCAACGTGACGGCCGTCTTGGTGTGTGGTGCGAGACGGGAGATATAGTTCATTGAGCGGTTTCACACAAAAAAGTGTTACTTCAGTTTTACGACACATTTTTATTTTTTGACTCGCAAAATTATCTTTTAAATTGACAAACATCTATGTGTAATTCGTGGCACAATTCAAACGGGATCGAAAGATAATCTTTCTCTCTCCATTGACTTTAATACATATTTTTTCCGAAATAAGGTCCCATGGAGCTCCCCCGGAAAGGGAGGGACTTCGCCTCTCCGGTAAAGTCCCGCCTGATTAGACGTTCTTATTATATACATCCATGGATTAGACTGGTCTTCCTGAATATCAACTTGAACATGTGAACGCCGAGTTCAGTTACGGATCTGTGGAAGGCTGTCTTTCTAATTATCAAATATTACCAACCTAGTTTAAATAAAAGTACTACATTTGCATATTTACTGTCCGCAAAGTAAAACTTTAGTAAACTAAGTATAGTAACATAACATGTTCCCTGGCTTACACACTCATGTAAATGTGATGAGAATTATGACATGTTTTTCAAGAATATGATAAATATATAGGCTATAGTAATTATCTGATGAACATACAAGGTGATTTTAGGTAAATACTCATGAAAGTCTTATTGCTTTTTTTGATGCAACATAACGCCTGATGTCAATATAAATTAAGCAGTTAAATGGAATACCGAGATTATTTCAGAGCAACACTAAACATTTTCCATAAATGTTTAACGGTTATAGCACTGCCTTGTGCTGTTAATATGTCTCCTTTATTTAAATGTTTAGGCCAAACTACTGCCACATATTTAGAACAAAGGTCACAATACTTGCCAGAAGCATCCGTTCATTTTTATTCACAAAATCTTAATACAGTCAAAGATTATCATCATCTGCTGGACCCACTGCAGACTGCGGGGGCAAGAAACGGTTTAGTTTGCCAAAAGGTCATATACAACAAAAGATACAAAATAAAGACAAATCCAATCATGTATAATTATTTATTGTAACAAAGCAACTAAACTTAATCTAATGTGAACAAAAGAAACACTTTAGGCTCCCTAGAGGATTCCAGAGAACGCGCTCCCTCTCCCAACACAAAATGTCAGGTCAAGCTAAAACTCAGATATTTAGGTTGTTTCTATAAAAAAAGAAAAAAGTATATTTCAAACCATCTGCGGTTGTCTGAAACAAGATAATTGTATTTAACAGAAGTCCAGGTTTGTTGTCAAAACCTCGCTGCCGCCTCCCCCCACACACACACATCCCCATTAAACTGAACAATGAACAAGTGTCTTGCCAAGATACACAGATATCTCAGAACAGCTGTTAAGGAACGAGCTGGTGCTTTCAGTCAGTTCCATTAGAACAATAAGTCACAAATGAAATGCAACTTCCAATAAGCCTTGGTATCCCCACCACTGGATATACTGTAATATACATTGATATGTAGAAGTGGCAAAGGATGCTATCAAGTTATCACAGCTCCATGGCTTATTTTTATTGAACCCACAACAGAAACTGATTTTCATATTTTACATAGAAATTGCTATGGTACGTATTTGAAATCTACGTAGGATGACGTGCAGAATGTTACAAAAAAGTTTGAACCTTTCGCATGTCTTTGGGTGATGTAGAGAAACAATCAAAGGGGAGACTGGAGGAGTGAATGCCCCCCCCCCCCCACTGGTGTATGCATTATGGACAGACTGAGGCTGCAGAGGAAGAGAGGCTGACAACACGCAGGGAAAAACGATTTTTGTGTTGTATTTTTACAAACCCCCCCTATATTACTCCTGTGGGTTGTAGGATGATCACAGAGGGAGGAAAGAGTCCGCTGAACTGTTTAATCATCCTCATCCTGAAAGAAAAGAAAATTCAGATCTCCGTTTTTAACAGTCGGGGACAGGAAGTGTCAGCCATTACAGTAACAGATCACACTAAGATTTGTCTATAATCTATAGTATCCTTACCTCGCCATCTTCTCCATCCTCATCCTCATCCTCTTCACCTTCCTCTTCTTCCCCCTCGTCAATATCTTCTAGACCCTCCTCGTCGTCATCACCTTCCTCATCCTCCATGTCAGGGACCTTGGGAACAATGATCCATTAAACCTGGATTCCTCAGTATTAATGAGTGTAGTTTGGAGCCTGGCCCTCACTGACTCTGCAGACCAGTACAAACACCCTTAGGTGTCGAATTATCAGTCCAGATTTTCTTTTACACAACGCTCTAATTGTTACCTAACGTTTTACCAGCAGTATTTAAAATGTGAAGCAGGACATTTCACAGTCGGAACATGTCAGTGCTCTCTGGTGGAAAACTATGGAAATGGAGAATTTCATTGCAGTGATAGAAATATATCTGTGAGCCGGTAATATCATGTTAATCAGGCGCTCAAATAAATAAATAAAAAATAACCAACACTAGTATTTTAAGATACTCAACTTAAATGTACTGTAGATAGAACATGAGTTCTGATCTTTGAACAGGCTAATTTGAAGTCTCTTATTAAAACCACAATGCTAATATTGATCTCAAATGAAGCCAATCAAAGTACATCATACAGCACAGTTCAATATTGCACAGAACCAGTGGCGTAACTATCGACGGTGCAGCGCACCAGGGCCCCGAGCTGGCAAGGGGCCCATGCAAACATTTTTTTAAAAGGATATATTATATAATATATTTTTTTGGGGCCTCAATGGCATTGACCGGTTCACGCAGTCTTCAAAGTAACCAAGCAACCTAAATTAATTTGTAATTTGTCTGTCCAATGACCTTGCTCCCTTTCATGTCATGTGATACCTTGCGTGACGAGCGAACCGTTTAATCAACCTGTACTGTAGCTAGCAGCAGCAAGTTCGGCAGCATTATAAAAAATGTAATAGCTTGCATTTATAATGTACAGCAAACCAAAGCACAAGAGCAGCGCTCAAAAGAGAAAGGACAAGAGAGAACAAGGAGATGTAACAGCTAAACTGACAAAATTAGACCGTTTTTTTTGTCATACATCGTCCTCAAAATCGAGCGCTAACGTTAGCAATGTTGACGTGCAGCGGCAGCCGGAGGCTAACGATAGCTCACCACCATCATTGCCATCTAGCTCCACAAGTGAAGCTGTATCCGTGGCCGTGGCTGTGCAACCTTCTTCTCCAGCCAGCCAGGAGGAGAGGCTGGATTTGGCTGTGCCCGGCGGTGGTCCAACAGTTCCCCCAAGGGCCCCAACCGATAGGGGACTCTATGGTGCTATTGAGACCCCCGTCGCCAAGATCAAAAGCTATATTATAGCAACCGGAAACAATATTTGCACCGGGGCCAATCATAACCTTGTTACGACACTGCACAGAACCAATGGTATATATTCTGATAAATATTGCATTTCTACTTTTTATCTCATTCATAGCAAAAAGAGATAAAATAGTTTTGACCAACTCAGATTAAATAAACACTGTGCAGCCTTTTGGCGTCTGATGTGCGTTCACATTTATAGATCTGGACCCCGATCTTCTTCTACCACAGGGCTGTTTCCCGTCTACAGTTTCTCAGGAGCAGCAGCTGGGAGTGAGCCTACCAGGTAGTACTGCAGCGGGTTGGGCCAGATGTCGTCTTTGATCACCTCTCCCAGCTCGTCGGCGCCAGCGTCAGAGTGGTCTGTGAACCAGGTGAAGAAGCTCTCAGGCTCCTCGTGCTGCCGCTTCTTCCCCGCTTTGTTCGGCGTCTGCCCGCTTCGCTTCGTCAGGTCCTGAGGAGAAAGCGTGTTTGGACAAGAGGGTTACATGAAAGAAGAATAATAATAATAATAATAATAATAATAATTGCAGCCATTGTTACACGTGAAAGACCCAAAAACATTAAGCAAGCCCAATATTGGGAGGACTAGATAAAGGTGAATAGTAAAGTGTAGCACTAATTAACTAAAAGTTGCACCCTCTTGGTTAGTGATATTAGTGTTGTAATAGATGACATCACACA